TTGGTGATGACCCTGATGCTCCTGAGTGGACTTTGGATGATCATCAAAATGCTATTGATCTTATTATGGGATATAAACGTGGGACGTCTAAAATACTTACAAAACAACTTCAGAAGGCTAAAGATAGACGTGATGATCTGGATTTGGCCCGAGCAATGAGAAACCTCGATCTTAATGATGATGCTATGGACATTGATACTGCGAGTTTTGGTGAAAAGGTAGAATTGAGAGAAAAAGATGGTGATGTCTATATGGTTCGTGTTGGGTCAAAAAAAAAGTAGGTTCGAGTATCTCAAAACTTCTTAAGTCGTCCCCAAATAAGACAGCAGTTAGCTCTTCTAGTGTGCCATTGAAAGGCAAAGCAACCCCTGTTAAGATTCCTGTGAAAGTTACTGGTAGCAAGTCTACACCTGCAAAAGCTGTTACTAAGAATGACTTATTAAGCCTGTTAAGGTCTGCAGACTTTAGGAAATTACTCCGTGAGATTCTTCAGGAGGAGTTATTGTCTGCTAGAAAAGTCACAGAGATTCCGGAGGACCTAGTTGAGGAGGAACAAGAAGAGGATATCAGGGTAGATGATCCTATGGATATTGACATAGCTCGTTTAGAGAATACTAAAGATCTTTTAGCACTGGATGGGGAGGTTAATGGAATAGCAATTCAGTGTTTAGCAGACACTTGTGCTAATGCGTCTTTTATTCAGAGAGAAGCTGCTGAGGAATTAGGGTTGGATATTGACAAGAGTATTACATATAACATATCTGGTGCTTCAGGAACAGGTAGGACATTCGGCATGGTAAAGGGAGTGACAATCAAACTTACCCCTGATTATGCTATCACTGAGGACCTTGCAGTCTTAAGTGGTTACAAGCATAGGGAGATTGGGTTAAGCCGAACGTGTCTGAAACGTTACAATTATGATGTCCATGAATCACGTGAACATATAGCCTTTACCTGTGATGGGAAGAATGTTTTTATCCCGATAGTTCCTGATGCTAATCGAGGGGATAAAAAATAAGACCCTTTAATTCTTCTATTTTTTTTTATTCCCAAAATTTGCGAATTAAGTCAGGGACATCCTCCTTCAACCGGTCAGCATGTTCCTAAGTAGCCTCAGTGTTTGGATATTTCTCCCACTTAACCAAATACTGGTCTTGACCTTTTCTAATGCGATGCCGAAGTATCTGCTCAGGAACAAATCTTTCAGGTTGTCCTCTTATCACAGAGTCAGGTGGAGGCTTTTCATTAATAGGAACTACTTGCAATTTCTTTCGGGTATATGCACATCTGGATACACCTAATCGACCATGTGGTCCATTAAGGAGATATGTAGGAGGCTGTTCGGGTGAGAGTATCATTTTTTTGATTACACGAATGTTTGGGTTCCATCTTATGTCTCCTGTACAGAATTTTCCGTGAAGTTTATTACCGAGTACTGAGATAGGTTCATCTAACTTTACTCGGACACACGTTCCTTCAGAGAGAAGTTCCTTCTTTTTTGACACTTTGGGTGACCCTGTCGGAATGTCTGGGGGATTTCTCTGCCAGAGTTCATTTACTTTACTCACTATATTATGGAAATCTTCTGACCATTCCACGGATGTCACCCCGGTTTTCAACTCCTGTGCTACCATTCGTTTAAGAAGGGGTTCTTGGATGACTTGGATAGCTCTTTCAGCATAAGATTGCTGTTTATGCCTTCCTGGCTCTCCGAACCTCATCATCACCCCTAGGCTGTTCAGGAAAAAATCACGTACCTGATCATTGGTGAATTCTGATCTGGAGTCTGTCTCTATTCGATGTGTTGGTGGCTTGATACGATTTCTTCTGTAGATTTTAACAAATCCATTGAGAACCCTATTTGCTGTTTTATTCTTTAAAGGCTCTGCGTCGACTCGTTTACCCGCGACTTCTACCACTACGAGGAAATAGTGGAATCCTTTGGGGTCGACTGGCATCTCTGCGAGATCTGCCTGATGTGTCGCATTTGGTTTCTATACAACTACTCGTGGACGCTCTGATGACTTCTCCTTTAGGGGCTTTTTGTATAGGTTGTAGTGCTCCTCACCTTTTAGAATTCGTGCTGGTACTCCTGAGAGATTGTAGTATTTGTAATAATTCTCTAAATGCGACATATTACGACAAATTAAAGGAATGGTTTTAGACTTCAAATCTTAAAATGACACATTTTTACTGCCTAAAGTGCAAGAAGGAAACTGAGACGGCTAGTGAAATACAAGATATGACTACAAATGGGCTTTACCTGCTGCATTTTGACTGCACAATTTGTGTTATTCATAATAATACTTTTACTGGAATAGACTGGGTGATCAAGAAGAAGACTAAGGAGAAAAAGAAAGAAACCGCTGCTAAGAGACAGCAGACGGCTTACAATCGGCAATGCAAAAAACTTGGACAGAAAATCTTAGATTCTGATGACGCTTGTAAACAGTGTATTGATAAATGCCTTAAAAAGGCAAAAAAGAGGAAGACGGATTAGTACTGTCTTCTAAACTTATCTGGATATGCTCTATTCTCAATACCCATTGTTCAATTACTTATTTTTTCTGACGGGGGCGGGACGGGGTTGGTCTTACTGGCTCTATAGACCTTCTAGGGGCTTAACTGCTAACTTATCTGGTTTGCTATCTCACTGCCTCCAACAGATTATTAGACGGAATCCTGATTATATGACAGAACTATGACAGAATGACAGATCTGGGGGGGTAAAATCAAAACTTTTTTCTGGGGATACCCTCTCCCGATTTTTCTGAAACATCTGTCATATCCGTCATATCTGTCATACCCCTTTGATTCTATCGTATTTTCCTCTCTTTTCCCTTATTTTATCCTTTTTTAGTATATTGTTATATGACAGATGTTATTGACAGATGGTGACAGATATAGGGGATTCCTGAGCCCCCGTAGGGGGGAAGGAGGTACTGCGACGGGTCGTAGACCCGGAGGTGGGTGGTGCTTGCACCTCCCACATCCAGCCCGACGACTCTTAGCCTGTCCTGGTCATCAAGCGAACATTCCATAAAGTACCACTTTTCTGCATCTGTGATAATTCCGAATACCTTACCTACAAACACACTCTCTTCCTCCATCTCATTCGCCTTACGTTTACAGTTTGATAATGCAGATTCGAGTTGAACAGCATTCTGAGCAATACCCTTAAAAAAATCTTCGTCCTTTACCTCTGTCACGCTAACAGTTTTCGCAGTTTGGAGTAAGTCTATTGCGAAATCAACTGGTCCGTGTCCATTGGGTCCTGTGATGTTTTTTTCTGGTCGAAGCTCAAACTTCCCCTCGTACAGATTTACTCTGGTAACAAGATAGGAGCAGACATATTGTGATTTCGATGCTTCATTCCCGCTGATTGGAATAGCCTTTAGACGGGCCTTCAGTTCGGTTACAAGATTGTTAAATATTGCCTTGGAAGAATTCTCTTCCATTTCTTTATACTCGCAAGTGAAAGGTGGGAACACTGATAACGAGGGATCGTCTGACTCGCCAAGACCATAAAGCTGACACACCTTCGGGAATGACTAATCTGAAAATGGTTTTGATGGCATCTCAATGAATACGGTGAACTTGAGATTGTTTTTTGACACGAATACGTTAAGCATCTCACGAAGACCCTGATCGTTTCGAGGTGAGAATTTTCCACTATCATTTAACTTCCGCTCCATCATTCTCGAGCGCTGGTATCTTACGCACTCCACGTATGTGTTCTTTGAGACCATCGAGGGTCGCGTGTTCGATATTTACGGTCCACTTGAAGCTCTTCGTCCGTTTCAGACTTACAACAACGTCGAATGCTGTAATGCAACAACAGGGTTAGTAAATGCTCTCCATAACCTGTTGATTTAAGCGACTCATGACCTAATGATTTCCGAGACTGCACGGTCCCAGAAATTTCTTGGCAGAAATACATACCATGGACAGACTTGCTGAGTGATTTCTCTAGCAACGAAATACGCTCAAGTAATTCCTGCTCACGGGTTGAAGTGGCGGTCGAGGCAGGTGGTTCAACTAGAACGTAAATATGTTTTTTAGGCGGCTTCTCAGTCCAATAGTCACCAATTTCGTTTATTGCAGACAGCTCGTTATTGTCATTGAGTGTGAGATTCTTCAATGGATTGTCAAGGTGATCGCTGCCAATTTCTACCTTCTATAGCCTGAGCTTGTTTGCGTCCACACCAGCAAAGTCATTCTGTTTTTCCGCTTTAATAACCTTCTTGAGTTCACTAACAGGCTCGTCCCTACTTATTTTGACAGAGAAAGCGTTCGCAAGGGTATTTCCTTTGACAAGGCAAAGTAACGTGATAGACATTTTTCAGTTTATATAGAAATTTTTGTGAAATATTATTGGCTAAAAGTAACGTACGTGAGGACAAGAGTAAAAAAAAATTTTATTTGAGAAAAACACTAAGTTAGGGTATATGTAAAAAATTCAGCCATTACACAGACACTGTCGTATGACGCATTTATTTGGTCACACAGGAGTACATGCATGTGGATCATTGAACATTTTCCGAGCTGTTGATCATTGCTCCGGGCTATACCCAGTTTCACTAATTTATTAACAAAATATATTTGTCATATGACACTCTGAACAAATGAATAGAGTATCACGTGCCTGTGATATGACGACAATTAATTATGATCTTAATTTTATCAACAAAGAAAAAAAAGAAAAAAAAAAAAAACTCTTTTCCAAAAAATTCTGGAACAAAAAATTTTTTATAACGTCGTCGTTTATTTTTATAAATATTACAAAAACGTTCGTTTCCATTTATTTCTGACAAGAGTTTTATGTTTTCACTTTATTACAGTTACACTTTTTATCATTCTTTATTATACATAAATATTACTTTTACTTCGTTTCTTTATTATTTTAGTGTTAAAAAGTCAGGAAAAATTTTTTTTTTAACTGGACATTTTATAATAGTCCAACTGGTTTCTTTTTTTTACCTCCTTTCATTATCACAAATATGAGTAACGAAGATACTCCTAACCTCTGCCAACCTACCAAGGCTATAGTTCATCTTTACCGACCAGCAAAGGTCCATACGTTTCGCTTTCATATCAAAAAACTCAATCCCTATGTCCGTTATGACTAAGGTTGCTTGCCGAAACCTAGGGGTTTAGGCAAGATGGCGTTTTGCTGAAAAGCGAAATTCTGCTGAAACTATATTAAAGTTATATTAAAAAACTGGCGAAACTTTGGAGAAAGGCGAAACTGCCAAAACTTATTATAAATGCTGAAACTGCCAAAACTCTGCCAAAACTATAATAAATCTATAGTAAAATTTTGACGAAACTAATCGTAGGATTTTGAAGAGGTTTAGACAAGCAACCTTAGTTATGACACTAGAGGAAGTGGCACATTATACAACTCTAGTTTAGGTCATTATTACATGCTCGATACCACTTACAGAGCTGATCATCCTAATACTGGTGACAAATTATACCGGATTTACACCAATGATATTGAACTATCACAAGAACACTGTCGTACATTTGGATCAACATCTAAGATTGCCAATCTGAACTACTTAATAGGAAATTACCTCACATTCATATTCTTTCTTAATAGACAATTTCCCAAGCATGTCGTAAACAAATACTTTAAATGTTTACGCCAATTATTAATAGAAAAATTTTTGGCAATCCACCGCCGATTGGACTTCTACAAAAACACTGAAATAGTTAGTTGGAAGTCAACCAAAACTTTTATCAAATTTAGTTTTGAAAATCACATGATTTACTTAGGCTTTTACCTTGCCTGCAAACATAATAATTGCCAAGACCTGCAGCTTCAGTTACGAATCGAGATAATTGGCGTTGTAATCGCCACTATAAGGCTATTGTACTAAAACACCCCTCCAATCCTCTCACCTCAGTCAAAACTTCTGTCAAATCCACAAGTATTACGATTAATACTGCAGTACCAAAGCATGATCCTAAATTTCATTGTAATGAATCTACTATTGGCATCGGTAAGGAAGTTCATTCACAATGCCTTGGCGTCAGTTATACAGTCACAATACGAAAATATAACCATTAGTACAAACCACAAAACGCTAGGTTACAACATAGCGTAACTCCAGTGACCAAAATTAACCCAAAAAAGAGAGTTACTTCAGAATATCGTTATTTCAAAGAATATTCACGTTTCACCTTTGACATACACCGTTCTCCAAAACAGATTGAACGATGGAAGCAGCTTACCACTAGTGTTTTCAGACACGAACATAACGGTACATCACTCAAAAATAAACCTTTCCTGCTAAATGAGGATAAGGACAACGCCAAACCTTATGTGGTCTTTAAACAGATTTATCACTTACCGAAAAGGACACATGATAATATAGGTTATATCGAACAATGTGAAAATCGTGCCAATAAGAAATTATTTTAATCAACAAAAAATTGGATCCGTTGAGTCAAAAAGCGTAACAAGCTGAAGAAAAGATTACCTCCTTTACCACCAGATTTTAATGGTGACGCTTGCCTATTCTATTACAACACCTACAACATACATTTATTTGACTACAAAGTACGCAGCCGTTTTGATGTCAGCTCCCTTCGCGAATATAATTATGGCTACCATAAAGCCTTGGAACTCTATCACAACTTTAAACAAAGATCATCTCGCCGCATTACCCAGGAAGAAATATCCCCATCGATAAACAGTAATACGATTATTAATGCACGTGATCATGTCATTATTAATGACTCCTCTACCTATTTTAGTCAATTTCACCTCCCGACTCCTCTATATAATCAATAAGTACCGGTTTTCTTTATTCACCTTATTTTTGGGTTTTTGGGTTTTTTTTCTTTTTACATATCACTCCTTTATCATAGGATAGTTTTCATTATTTGTTTTATTTTGATAGTTTTACTTCTTTATTAGAAGACAATTTCGGACCTACTAAAAATATACCATTCTATGCCTGACAGTATTTACGCATAGTAGTTAGTAATAGCCTAACTAAAAGAAAAATACAGGTGATCTGTTTGAACTACTTTTTTGTTTTTTTCTGTTCGCCTTTATCACTGTCCTTTTCCTAATTTTTAGCGGGTGTGCCATAAATTAGTTTCTCTTAAAATTCTAGTCAGAGCTTGATTTATTGGGCGATGATGTTTACATTGTGCATTTTTTATAATTTTTATTAGTCTAAAATTATCAATGTACTCTCCTGGCTTACCTTAAAATAAAATAAATTAAATTAACAAAGAAAAAATAAGCATCTTTATAGTACGTCACTTAGGCGAAAACTGTAAAAGAGTAAAATGGCATATGTGGAATGTAAAATTGGCCTTTTTCTGATGATATAGATCATCTTGAAAGGCGTTGCAAAGCAATGAAAGAGGGTCATACCCACTATACCGCTAAGGCTTTAATCGATACTTCAGTTTACAATAATTTTATTAGAAAAAACGTGGCTGATAAACTTGGATTGAAGTATGCCAAACCTTCCAAAAATATCTTGAAGAGAGTACCGAATGCATTAGGTTTTATAGACTGTCTAGATTTATCTTTAAAAATCAAAGGGGAAGATAGTTTAGTGACAACTGATTGTGATGACCCCTTAAACGATTTTGTGGTGGTCAAAGAACCCAAAGCCAATCTTGTATTCGGATTAAAATAGCTGTGGTTACGAGAAGCAAAGATTGATATACGGAAAGAAGGAATAGAAATCTACGGTATATTTGTTCCATTCCTTATGAATTATACGGGATAAAAAATTAGCTTATTAGAAAATCGGATGGAAACCTCTCCGTCATTACGGTTTTATGTACCATTTAACATTCTTATTTTTTTCTCATTATTTTCACGTATTTTCTTGATTTTTGCAATATCAGAAATACGGACAGATTCTGTATAGCTGTCTTTAACAAATTTCCGTCTGATCCCAGTTATTCTTATATGATTTCACCCACAAGAGTATTCCTTATGCTGAACCTTATTTTTGTGTCTACTTTGTACCTTTCAGGTATTTATTAGAGTATTCTGTAATGGAAATGACTCCATTACTTCGTGGTTAAAGCCCAGGTACCGCCCAGATATAACGTACTTACTAAATGACATTTATATATTGTTATCTTTTATCTACATAAAATATACGTTATTTATTTGTAAAAATAACTGATGTGTTGGGATATCCGGGCTCTACTTACAATTGCGATATGAAATTTGGCCTTGACCTTTCTTTGAAATGTTATGTCAGTCATAATCCTCTCTAAGATCATCTCTAGTATTGTTAATTTCTTCTTCAGTAATAATTCGCTCTTCTTTAGATAATTCAAAATAGAGTTTGTATAAGTTCTCAACACTTTCAAGAAGCTCTTTCTTATTTTCATATCATTCCCTATATCGATTTATTCGTTTTTTATATGTCTCCTCATTTGGAAATAACATTATGGCGACAGTTCTTATGTATTCGTTGGGTTTATCTTCTTTTTGCAATTTTTTCACATAGCTAACGTATTCTTTTATAAACTTACTGTCTCTCTTGTAGCGAGAACAGAGTGCGCTGTCTATTATTTTTATTTGCGCCTTCTCAATGTCTTTCTACGTAATAATACCTGTTGAAACTACTTCGTAGGCTCTACCTAAACCGTTATCTTCCATTATACAATACCTGCATTGCATATTTGTTATGAAAAAAAATTTACATAGAAAAATAAATACAGATTATTATCATATTAGTAAATGGATATTAAGCCTTTATATTCGAAGTTTAACTATCATTGCTCGTTGTTCTGCATTTTCTTGTGTCATTTCACTATTTAGATAATAGTAAAATGCACGTTCATATGGAAGTGTCCGCTTTCCGTCAGATAAAATCCAACGCTTATCATCAAAGGGTGAAGCAGCCTGTTTCTCTACTTCAACGAGAGATATTATATGATCCTTAGTTCTGAACCCGACATTTTTTGCATAAATCTGTTTTTTGTCAAATAAACATTCCCTATATAATAAGGTCAAAGGATCATACTGTTCCCCAATTGCGGTAATAGACATATTATTTCTGGCAGTGTTCTCCATCCCCATCTTACTAATGCCTTTATGTCTTGAGCCGATACTACCATTTTCCAAAACATAATGGTATAATTTTGCACGTATCCCAAAGAATTCGGATATTATATAATCAGGACACTCATCCTTGAATTTACTTATGACACCCGCATTTTTTAATGTTCGTCCCCTTAACCACTGGTCCTCTGGAAGTGATTTTACTAATGGATGGTTAGGGAATAATTATTAAAATCAAAGAGGTCCGCATTTTTTAACATGTCCTGACAAATATCTTCTGTTTCTACCCCGTATATGAATGAATCAGTATCCATATAGCAAAGGGTTGCTTTTTCACCATAAGTTGCTTTTACGTAGTCATACCAGAATTGGTACATATGGAGTTTACTCAAACCTAGAACCGCTGCACTGACTAAGATCAGTTTATTTAACGTAACTTCTGATTTACCCATATGTACTCCTACTAAGTCCTTATCTAATAAACGGGCGTATTTGAATGAAGTTTTCGAATCTTGTTCAGAAGACTTTTCTCATCTTTTTTATTTCTAAGTGGTAATAACTTGATATCTATATGCTTTCGAACATTCTCCATAGTTTTACCATATACAGAGTTATTCATTAACTTGAAGAAGTCCCTCTCAAAATCATTCCTAGCCTTTTTTTAAAGATTTGAATTTAGTGAAATGTATGGTTCTAACCATGGAGATTGATCGAATGAAAGAACCTTTTGTATTTCATCTACTACCATTCCAAGTTTCACATAATATTGTAATTCGCTATAATGAAGGACATACTCATCTCTAGGTCCAAGATGCGTTATTAACTTTTCCACCGATACATAATTTTTCTTTCCCATTTTTTCTAAGTATGACTCCTGTTTTGGACTAAATTGTTCACGTTTTACCTTAATATTTTCGACTGCTGAGGGATATATATATATATATATATGAGATCCATTAAATAGTTATGCGTTTGTGCAGGAAAATAAGACTTAATTTGCACATAACAGCCTCGTGTTGCATCCTTTCGCTTCTTTAGGATAGTATTGAACACTTTTTTATTATTCTCTGGATCTTTAAGAAACTCATCACTATACTCCCACTTGTAATTTCCGATTTGGAAATACTGACTCATTGCCCATCCATAAAGATTATTAGCATCAACATATGACAACCATGTTTTTGGTCGGCGTATGTTAAAGTTTTTGCATTTTGGATTATTGGCTTTAAAATAACGTCTACAAGACATTGTAATTCCATCACGTTTTGCTTTTTCTGCAAAATCATGCATCTCCATATCTGTAAAAAGCTCAATTTTTACACCTGTGTATTTTAACATCGCATCCCAAGTTAAGGATGCTGCAGATACATAATGGCTTGGGTCTAGTTCATAGTATTTCATAGATGTTTCACAAAAGGCAGTCCATACGTCAGCAAGCAAGAGCACATCGGTTTTTGAATACAAATCATGATACTCACCTAGATTTTTACAGCCAAATTCCTTCTATACTTTTTGTGCGTGCTCATAATTTTTCTGTGATATTCTTCCTTTAAGGTCACTATAAAACTTTTCGATTGATGGTAATGACGTTTCTTTGAATTTTTCATGTGAATCGATATATTCATATGGGAAAACGCCTTTTCTGAGAAGTAACCCAATCTTTTCCATTGGAACACCTTCCTTTGTATAATACCTCATTGTTATTTTATATTTTTCTGGATGGCTATACAACGTTTTTTGTCTATTCGGAAATAGTGATTGCAACCGTTAGTTTTATTACATTTTACTGCACCTATATTCTCTGCTAGAGTGTCCAAGCTACATTTCATAAACTGATATGAATCTATGTATTTTATCTGGCCAACTCTCATTGTCTTGTATCGCTCAAAAGTTTCTGCAATGACTGAAATCCTATGTGAGAAAGCTGATTGGCTTACTGATTCACATATTAAGTGCGAATCATATCCACGAAAATTATGTATAACTACTGGAATTGGTGTATTCTATGGTACAATGCGCAATTTAAGATTACAGTCTTTATGGGCAGCACCTCTGAATTTTCCGGTTATATGACAATGATTCCAACCCTTGTCATGATTGAATGCTTTTTTACATATCCAGTATTCCTTTGCATTGCCAAATCTTTTGCGATCTTCTATATTGTTCTTATTTGCCAGAATTGGATTTGTGAATATTTTGTTAATTCGCTTCACTTCTTTATCCATTCTTTTCACGAATTCCTCTGTAGCATTAGGTCCTCGATAAATATATGGTCCCCAGATTTCTCTGGAGTCTATCCAATAAACTGAATAGGAGAAACTAATAGCTTTTTGTTCACCGATTTTCCGCATAGACCCTCCATATTTCTCATCAGTTTTTTTGTGTTTGGACTCAAAATCTACTTTAATTACACAGGGGCATGCATCATTCGCTCATAGTTTTTGAATTTTTCGAAATTATTTATTCCATCAGCCTTTGGAAGTGTGACTTTTTGTGATGTGTTGTCCATCCCATAGCACCACACATGATGCATGTCAAGTCTCTCCATCAGTAATATTTTAGGAGTAAGGATCCACGTAAAATCCTTATTTTCTGTAAATAGTAAGGATTCGCGTGGATCCTTCCCCACCTCAGCGGATCCTTGGAATTAAATATTTATAGAATCCCTAAGGATCCTAAATTTACCAATAAGGAATCCTTAAGGATATATTTATTATTTATTAATAGGTTTATTATTAATTAATTAATTTATTTATAGATTTATTAATATATTTATTACTTTTTATTTATTTATCTATATATTATTACATTTTTCTGGATTAATTAAATAAAAACGATTAGAAAAGACTATTACGATTACAAAGAAAATTCTAAATCAAAAAATGTAAATATTAAGCTTAGAGGCAGAATCTATGAATAAAAAAATTAAAAATATTAGTAAAAATTATTAATAAAGAAAAACAAAACATTTTCTTAATACATACTTTCAATTAAAAAGGTAAAAAAAAATGATATTTCGCAATGAATCTTATCATTTTTAAATTCTTAATTCTCTCATTGATGCCCTAGATGACCTACAAAAAAACTAAGAAAAAATTAGCAAATGCTTCATTAAAAAAAAAAAAAATTAAAAAATCAATCAAAATCCAGACCTATTGAATTTAAACCTTAGTGTCAATTACGGGCAGTTAAATAAACACGAAAAGCAGCAACTATGTTATAAATATACCCATCATCTCTAAATCGTAAATTTTTCAGCTGCAAAGTTTAAATTTAGTAACTTGTAAAATACTTGATAGTTTCTTGTATTTTTCTTGTTGAAAATTAACAGGAATTTCTGCAAATTATAATTGAGATCCTGTACTTTTAAAAAAAACACCTAAAAAAATAAAAAAAAAAACAACAAACAGTTAGAAGTGTTCGTTAAATTAAAAAAAATTGAAATAATTTTTACTATTACTTGCCGATATCCATGACCGTTATAATTTTATTCTATCATCACCTTTCATGTCGCTAAAAATAATGTGAAAATATTCTGCTCTTCGTTATAAATGCAATCTGTCTTTCAATGTTTCACTCTGCAATGTCTAGAGAAACAAAAACCCGTCTAAAAAAAAAGAAATAAAAAACGAACAGTTAATAATGTTCGTTAAAATAAAAAAATTTAAATAATTTTTTTTTTACTTTGTCAGTATCCTCACGTCAAAAAAAACCTTAAAACAGCCTAAAAAAAGAATAAAACGAACGGTTAGTAGTATTCGTTAAAATAAATGGAAAGAAAAAAAAAATTTTTTTCTTACTTACCGATATCCCAAATCCAGAGAGACTTGAATAAACTGCCTAAAAAAAGAAAAAAAAATGAACAGTTAGTAATATTCATTAACATAAAAAAAGAAAAAATCATGTTTTTTTACTTACCAGTTCTACATTAAGAGAGACTTGAAAAATCATCTAAAAAAAGAAAATAAAGCAAACTGTTAGTAATGTTCATTAAAATAAACAAAAAGAAAAAAAAAATTTTTTTTTTACACACCAGTATTCCGCATCTAGAAAGGCTCAAAACCACCTAAAAAAAAGAAAATGAACAGTTAGTGATGTTCGTTAAAATAAACAAAAAGAAAAAAAATAATTTTTTTTTCTTACTTGCCAGTATTTCACGTCCAAAAAGGCTCAAAATCACCTAAAAAAAAAGAAAAACGAACAGTTAGTAATGTTCGTTAATATAAAAAAAATGAAATTTTTTTTTATTTACTTACAAAAGTCCTATTTGAATATCCAAACCCAATCTTCTAGAAAAAAGAAAAAATAGAATAGTTAATGATATTCATTAATATGAAAAAAATGAATAATATTTTTTTTACTTGCCGAAATCCATGTTCAAGTACCTGAAAAAAAAGACGTCTAAAAAAAAGGAAATAAAATGAAACATTAGTTACGGCAACGTATCATTAAAATAAATAAAAAAATTAAAGTGTAAGCTTACCAAAATGCCGCATGCAAAGGAAATCTGAAAGAAACTAAAAAGAAAAGGCCCGACCATTTAAAAAAAGAAAAATGAAAATGAAACATTAGTTAATGTTTCGTTAAAATAAAAAAAAATTGTAAAAAAAAACTTGCCGCAAGAAAATCTGAAAGAACCGTCTAAAAAAAGAAATAACTGTTAGAAACCATTCATTAAAAGAAAGGAAAAAAAAAGTTTAAAACTTACCAGAATATCACCTTCAAAGTGATCCGAAAGAACCGTCTAGAAAAAAAAACAAAAAAATGAATTAGAACCTGCTCATTAAAAGAAATAATTAAATATATAAAAAAAAAACCTTACCAAAATCTGACTACTGACTAAAAAAATAGCAAAACGTTATTTAATATTTCATTATGGATTTTGTAGAGAGAGGGGAAAGAACAGGGTGAAGAAATAGGACGAGAAAGGGAAAAGGTGAGAGAGGGAAAGTTTTGTAAAAAAAAATTCCATATCAAGATATCAGATGGCCGATCGTTAAACATTAAAATTATAACACGTGATACACGTGATTTTTTAATTTTAAAATTAAAATTTTTTAAAGATTTAAATATAAGGAATATATAAGGATTTTTTATATGGAATCTTTAAAGAATCTTTAAGGATCTGTAAACTTATAGATTCCTTAAGGGTATTTTACAAATCAGTATGGATTTTTAAAGAATCCATAAAATTACAGATCTTTAAGGATTCTAAAGCAATTTATGGAATCCTTAAGGATCCATATTCCAAAAAATTTACTGATGTCTTTGCAGGGAAATGTTTGTGTACATTTATTACAGAAGTGTTTTTTTCCTTTATGAGCCGTATCCCCATATAATAATCTGTTGATATCCTTTACCCAGATGTAGTGATGCTTAATCTTAAAGTCTGTGACCTCACCTACGGTTTTGATAGTGCGATTAAGTGTATATTATGCTGACGATCATGATTTTTACTATATATTACACATTTGGGCGATTGTTTATTTTCATTCCATTCTCAAACATTTACACTTATTTCTGGATTTTGCTTTTCGATTTTTTCAAATACTCGTGGACAGATAGGAGTAGGCATTGGTATTCCCTCCAAATTGATCCTGGATATGTATGGTCTAATTTTACTAAGATTTTGTGGATTTTTTACTATTCCGTCATTTTCATAATGAAGAAAGTGCAGACCCAGTGTATAACCCAAACATAAATTATCTTCTGTGGCTCTGTTATTTGGGTTGATGGTTACCTTTTTATTGGACAAACCTTTAGGAGTTTCTTTCCAACTTCCTCCTAATGCACGTTCATATTTATAAAATTCTATGTAAATCATTTCTATTTGTAATAACTTCCATCCTGATCCATTATTTAAATATGCCTCTATATCAGCATCTATCATCACCCCTGCAGACCTATCTAAGAATTCATTTATTGAATGTTCTGCAAGTAAGACTTGCGTTTCTCTGTCATGATATTTGTCAGTATATGTGACAGATATTTCCCCTTGTACAATCTTTCTTTGTTCATATGCACAGTAAGCAGTTATTCTTGCCTTTAGTTGGCTACCTTTTCTCTCAAATTCGGTCTGTATTACTTCTGTGATTTTTTCATGGGATGCCTCTATCATTTGCACCATGTATGGCGTTTTTCCATAATCATCTTCTGCTATTTCTTTATTAAAGTTATAGGAAGGATTCCGCATTGATGGAACTACTGCTTGCCAGCAACTCATAATATCGGATACATCTACTAACTTTTCTTCTTCTCTGCTCCTTTTTTCCACATTCTGGTAAATATCTTCTGGTAATACTTCTCCATTAATATTCAATCGTCTTTCTGTTCTGCATTCAGTGAATTCTATGTCTCCTGCTGGCGGCTCATTATATTCAAATACGCCATATTTTGGTTTATATGTTCTATGATGTTTTCTTTTTGGAAGTGCTCCCTCCTGTACTACAACTTGTGCTGAACTTTGTGGCGCACTCTGTTGCGCAGGCTGCTGCGCATTCTGTTGTTCTGCTTGTGATTTGCATTGTCTTTTTCCTTTCGCATTCACATGGCTTGTTCATGCCCTCATGTCTCTGAATGTTTTTCCGCATCTTTCACATGGAGGAATCATTGCTACTTTATCCTGTAGATTACACCTAGTATCCTTCCTATATTCAATTCAAAAAATTTTTTTCGTATTTTTAATTAATTGCTTCCATTATTTTTCTTTCACGCCAGAGCTTTGAAGTTACCTGTACTGTCCGCAGGGGATACAAATTTGTAATGCGGAATTTGTCCCATTACCACAATTTTTACATGGCTTTGGTGGTGTAGACCCCTCCCTTAACGTAAATGCATGCTTTCCGCAGTATTGATTTTTTGTGGGTCGGGTGCAGTATTCTTTTGTCCCTTTTACTAGCCAATGGCATGGCATATTGCCTGTCTTTATTATTGTGTTTTAATCTTATATATTAGAGTACAATTTCAATTTTGCACTATTGTCTCATTTCTCAATTTACATGATACTCAGTTCAATGTTCAGGACAACATGTGGATCATCTATGAAGTAAGAATACTGTTATCGCAGTATTTTGTCATATAAAACCTAATAAAACCTATCGCAAAAATCTCGTTGAAAAAATAGCACTGATTGCTAGAAGTGGAGTTATCATATATTTTAGCCATTTTCTCATTACAAAAAATTCTTTCACACAAAAACTAACACAGAAAATTATCACAAAAAACTAACACAAATATTACACGTGTGAAAAAATAGCATTGTTTGCTGGAAGTGGGTTATCATATATTTTTGCCATTTTCTCATTACAAAAAATTCTTGCACGCAAAAACTAACACAAAAAACTAACACAAATCCTGTGTAAAAAAACTAGCACAATTACGGAGAAAAGAGTTATAATATCTTTCAAATATTTATCACGTACAAAAAAACTAACACAAAAAACTAACAAAAAAAACTAACACAAAAAATCGCATAAAATATATAACACATATTTTGATGAAGAGAGTTATAATATGTTTTAAATATTTTTCACATACAAAAAGTAACACACATAAAACTAACACAAAAAAATAACATAAAAACTAACATAAAAAATCACACAAAAAAAAATAACACATCCTTAGTAGAATAATATTTCAATCATAAATAATCATATAATACGTATATTTTTTTTGTTAGAGTTTTGGGCTGAGTTTTTGGTTAGAGTTTTTTTGGTTAGACTTTTTGGTTAGACTTTTTTTTGGTTAGAACTCAGTTCACTTCGGGACATAGGTGAGTGGGCGTGTATGAGTAGACATATAGGCTATTATGATATGAAAGCAGATCATAGGTGGACCATTACATTGCTGAGCCTCAGCAATGTACTGGGTGTGCTTTCATTTTTGATAGCAATACATGCACAATTGGGGTGAAAAAAAAAACGTATGAGTGAGTATGTATGAGTAGACATATAGGCCATTATGATATGAAAGCAGATCATGGGTGGACCATTACATTGCTGAGCCTCAGCAATGTACTGGGTATGCTTTCATTTTTGATAGCAATACATGCACAATTGGGGTAAAAAAAAATAACATATCCCATTGCTAAAGTTGGGGGGAAAAAGGTTTCATCCCTTGTTTTAACTTTGGGAACGGGGAAAATGTAGTACTCTAGAGTTGGAGTTGGGGAGTAAAGAAAAGATAACTCTCCAGTTAAATTGGGGATGAAAAAAAAACGCTACCCCCATAGCTAAAGTTGGGGAGAAAAAAAGAAAAAAATCCCCAAACTCAGATGGGGTCAAAATAAAAAATTGGGCCAGAAGCCCCATTTAGTCTCTACTAATGCATTCTAATTGATTGTTTTTTTTAGAATATCATGTTAGTAATAATTATATGTTAGTAATGGAATATGCTAATAATGGTAGTCTTCGAAGCTATCTGGAAAAAAATTTTGGTAAAATTACATGGGATGATAAATATATTATGGCATACCAGTTAGCTTGCGCTGTGTCATGCTTATATAATGAAGGGATTGTTCATCGTGACTTGGTAATTTATTCTTCTTCAATCATTGTCTATAATATTATATTTGCATTGCTAAGACCTAAGTTAATATATAACTTCTAATAGCATTCTGATAATATATTAGTTCATCAAAACATGATCAAATTGGCGGATTTTGGATTATCGAAAAGAATTGGAGCGTCATCAAATGTTCAATCCAAAATAATTGGAAGCTTCCTTATGTTGATCCAAAATTTTTAATAGATGAAGAAATAATAATAACCAAACATCGCAAATTTACTCATTAAACGAAAAAAGTGATGTTTACAGTGTCGGCATATTGTTATGGGAAATATCTGACAGACAACCTCCTTTTATGTTGAAGGTGAAGAATATGATGTTGGTTTAGCTTTAGAAATTTTACAAGGTCTTGGAGAAACAGTTGTTCCTGATACACCAGAAAACTTTGTAACAATTTATATTAGTAAGTAAATTTAAATGTAATTACTTAAATGTTATTTTTTCTAATCTTAAATTACATTTATTATTTAGAGTGTTGGGATGGGGAACCAGATAATTGTCCAAATATATATCAAGTAGATGCAATTGCAAAAAATCTTCAATTGTCAGGTAAACAAGAAGTCAATGATGCTTCAAGTACTAATAATTTAGAATCACAAGGAGATTTATCTCAACTTATACAAAGGAATTGATGGAAATTAATAAAAGATCAAGTTATTGAATATCTTCATAATTTTAATACTAATCCAGAAGAAATTTGTAATTGGTTATCAAATAATCAAAATAGTTCAAATTCAATTTTTTTATTTAAATATTTTAATCGTAATGGAATTGCAACAAGTAAAGATCATAAGAAATCTTTCAATTTATTTATTAATGCATCAAATTAAGATCATATATTAGCATAATATTTTGTTGGTGATTGTTATCTACATGGAACTGGAACTACAAAAAATAAAAAATTAGTTTTTGAATACTTTGAAAATGTAGCTAATGAAAATTTTGCACGGTATTAACAAAGATATAAAAAAGGCCATTTATTGGTATGAAAGAGCTTCAAAAAGGGTTATGTGTAATCTTAGTCTTTGTTATTCGAATGGAAATGGTGTTGATAAAGATGATAATAAAACCTTTGAATTGTCTAAGCAATCAGCTGAAGAGGGTTATTCAAATGGAATAACCATGTTAGGATATTGTTATGAAATAGGTATTGGAACTAAAATTGATAAGCAAAAAGCATTTGAATTATATCAAAATGCTGCAAATCTGGGAGAAAAGGCAGCACAACATAATCTTGGTAATATGTATGAATTTGGAAACGGAATTACAATAGATATAGACAAAGCAATTCATTGGTATGGAAAAGCTGCCAAAAAAGGACATAAAAATGCACAAAATAGATTAGAAACACTTCAAAAATCATAAAAATTCATTAAAATTACAAGATTATAAATGTAATGATCTTCTTTAAAAACGTAAATAAACTTATTAAATTAGTAGTTAACTTACATAATCATTCTTATTCAATTTATTTTTTACTATATGAATAAATACTTGTTATTCCATGGATATCAATGAATAACTATAAATATTCACCGATGCCTTGGGGCCCCCGAAGGGAAGGAGCATCAGTGTATATGAAGTTATACCGATGGAGTAATTGACAAAAAAATTAAAATTTTATATTTTGTATTTATTATTAAATTTAATTCTACTATATATTGTATTTCTATTTATTTAAATTAGTCATTAAAAAAAATGAAGTAATTTTTTTCTTATAAATGTCGTGTCGATATTATGATAATTTGAAAACTCATCGTACACAGCAATTAGAATGTGTTAACAGTGTGTCAACACACCAACTACCCTAGTAAGTAGTTAATTTTGAATTTCTTTTGTAGTAATTGCGCCAAATGCAATGAAAACATTTATTTGAAGTTAAATGGGAATAAAATTCAAATAAACTACTGTAATCCAATATGGGTTAAAACTGGTTTAATAATGTAATTGTTACAGATGAAATAAACTAGATATATTTTTCTGATCACAACATAAAATACTAAAAATAATTAAATGATAAATTGCAATAATGCAGTATGCATTTTTTCAAAACATTATTCATCTCATTGGTAAAATATAAAAAAATGAATTTTTTTAAATGATGATGTTATATTCAAATATTACTACAGTAATACAATATTTTTTATATTTTCTACAAACCTGTGAATTGGTAAACGGAGAATATTATATATGGTGATTATAACCAATGAGCTTTTATTTCGGACCGCAGTTATCTGTAAAATTGTAATTTCGATTTATGGGTAATATTATTAAAAACACTGGTAATAAATGCAAATATATCATTTTTGATTAAGGAGGTGATGCTTTTTGGTTATAGAAGTTAGTTGTACAAACTGTTGTATCATTTTTGATTATTGAAAAAATAAATGTATCATTTTTGATTATTGAAAAAAAATTCTGTCTTTTTTGATTATTGAAAAAAAAATTCTATCGTTTTTGATTATTGAAAAAAAATGTATCATTTTTGATTATTCGATAGTATCACGTTTTATTTATTTAATTTATACTAAACAAGTTAATGTATCATTGTATAACATTTAACGTGTTCACATAATACTTTTCTTCACACGACAAATGATTTAATTCTTTTTCTTTTCCAAAAATTTTGATTTCTTTTGATATTTTTTTCTTTATTATATAATAGTTTTTATAATATATTTTGCGTTTTATAACCTTGTTTATATTTTTTACGTGATAATTATTTGTAATAATTTTCTTTCTATAAATTTGTGTAACATTACTATATATTATAATATGGAAACTTACGAAAATCAAATCAAATACAACGATGATGGCTCAGTAAATGTACCATTTGGTCGTGCTGCTGAATGGTATATATCAAATGCAAATCTTTTAAAAAATTATCGCTTAAAAAATCAAAGTAGACAAGTTACTCCTAAACTTGTTAAAGCTGGAATCTTAACGGTAGAACGTGTACAAGGGGCAATAGATTACTTAGCATGGAAAACTAAAACTGGAACGGTAAAATCAACAAATCGTATTGATGATATTTTAGTTTTAACCAGTTTAGGAAGAGATTTGGTTTCTCAAATTGAATTAGGATTAGCCAAAAACCAACAATGTTGGTATTGGGTTATGTATTGTTCTGGTGATGGAGGCAACTGTCAAAGATTATGTGGTAGTGTTGGAAAATGTAATGAAAATTGCGAAAATTATAATTTATGAAATAATTTGAAAAATGGAAATGATATGCACCATTGTAGTGTCAGAGTTATTTCTGAATGTCAGTTATCTTGGCTATCATTAGAAAATCCATTGTGAATTACCATTCAAGGAACTCATCGTACATTTTACAATAATAATATTCCTAAAATTTCAAGAATAAATTTAACTTATTCTGTCAGAGATTCAATAGCATTAAGCAGAAGAGCAGACCACAGGACAGCCAAAGGGATAAAAGCGAAATTATTAACATCACTTAATGG